TCAGCAGCAAACTGATCTCTAAAAGTCTGAGTTTTGGGCCCCTCCTTACCAAGCTCAGCCAATCTGACACTGCCAGACTTCATTTTTCAGGCTACTCAAAACCATTTACTTAAGTTACTCATTTCCTCCCTAAATGACTGCAGCAGAAACAAAGATATGTGACTCATTACTGCAAGTTTTGTTACTGTTAACAAATCACTGAAAAGCTGTATTGCTCTGCCAGCCTATATAAAAACCAGGGCAGAATCCCAAAAAATCTCGAGTAAGCTGGTAACAACAGAGCAGTTTTTAATACCTGCTACAGGATTACTTGGAATCTAACTATTCCAACACTGGGACTCAGAAAGGCACTGAAATATTTAAGTTATTACCATAAAACCCAATTCTGAAACCAGAGTATTTTATAAGACAGGCCTGAGATCCCAAAGGATTGAGGACTTTCTAATGAGCTTTGTGCAGATGGAAGAGCATCCAGCACCCCTTCTTCATGAAAACCAAATCAGGCAGTAACTGTATTGGCATTGGCCATGAAAACAGGAATTTCCAGGATAAAGAGGTTACTCCCACATCACCTGTCAAAGAACAGACACAGAAAATAAGGAATTTTCCAGATGACAGCAGTGATGTCTTGTACCTTTGCCATATTCTTAGAGAATCCCATTTTACTTTGCTTGGGAGGGACATTGGGGCATCCTTAATCCTTAGGAAAGAGGAAAAATATGGAGATGAAATCAGTGCTATCAGCAGGTTTTGGGGTGCCTTGCAGGAGTGACAAAGAAAAGGAGAACAAAGGGCTCACACATCTCTTCTAGGTGCTCTTCCAGAATCCTAAAAAAATTTAGGCTGGGAGAGCCCCAAAGGCTGGCTGGGACTCCTTCTGGTCCTCCAAGGACACAGGAATATCTGGGACAGGCACTAACAAGCAGAAATAGCATAAACAATGATGTCAAATCCTATTCATCTTCCAGACTCACAGAGATCTTCCACTCAAAACCCAAAAACAGAGCCCAACACCACCTGTCCCAAGGGGACATGTGAGAGCTGCAGAGCCTGTCCAGACAAACTTGTCACTGTTTGTCAAAGGAAGCCACCAGGAAAAAGGAGTTCTGGCTGTAGGAGCTTGCCAGGAGCCCCGTTTGCTGGGCTGGTTCCTGTGGCTCAGCCTTAGCTAAGCAGGGCCACCCCATAACCCAAAAACTGACCACAGCTTTCTCCAAGCAGCCAAACCCCAAAAGGTTGAAATAAGGTATTAAAAGTTTCTCCTCTACCTCTGGCTGTGGTTACTTTCCTCATCCTTCCCTTCCTGCAACTGAGTTGACTGCTGAGTTTTCATAAAATGATGGAAAATATACTTGCATAAAAAAAGAAATAAAAGCAGAAAAGAAGAAAACAGCAGGCCATGGTTATTTAAACCTGCTATCAACACTTCAGCCATAAGGAACACTGAAACGTTCAGGGCTTTGTCTGAGTTAATTCCTCTGTGAGAGCTTCTGCTGAATCCTAGCAAAAAATATGCATGGATATTTTGATTTAAAAAAAAAATGAACCAAAATCAGTAAGAGGAAGATAAAGTGCGTTCAGATGGTCAGAAACTATTGTTCCACCTTCAGTCAGCAGAAAACAGCTCAAGGGGATGAACTGCAGAAATGCCTGGATGCTGAGCTGAAGGGAAAAAGCTTTTTAAGAAAGTTCTTTCTTAAAGCAGCTTTCTTTCAGATGAGACAAAGCCAGCATCCCAGTTGGGGAACAGAGACTCTGGGTCACTCAGGGGCTGCAGCAGCCCCAGGAGATTCTTCAGACCTGCATTGCCCCAAGGACCTCCCCAGAGCTCTGAACATGAACAAAAACTGGGTTTCAAATCAACATCCCAGCTTCAGGCCATGCTCCAGTTTTACTGAGCCAGCAGAGGATGAGCAGATGAGGGAACAAGAGTTCAGCACAGCACCACTTCTCACATTCTCCTGATTTACATGGGTCAGGGTAAACCCCTCTCTTCTCAGGAGAATCTCGTCTTGAATTGCTGTGCTTTTCCAGCAGCTGAGGGCATCAGGGCACTCCCTGGCAAAGGAACAACACAAACCCACCAGACACTCTGGGAAAAGCTCCTTAAGTGTGAACAAACACATCAAATGTGAAGCAAGGAGGAAAGGTGGAGATCAGGTGAAAAGAGATAAAAGCTGAAGAGGAGAGAAGCCCCATTGCATAATGTGGGGACAGAAATAGGCCAGTTTTGCCTAAATCAATGAGAACCAGGAACAGGAAAATCAGGGCTTTAGTAGCATGAACTCAAGGAAAAGTTCAGTTTGGCAGAGCAGAACCATCCATGTTTCAGTGGAAATGAGTATCAGCCTGGTGCTGGCAGGGAGTCAGTAATGATGCCTTCATGATATTTGATAACTTACCCAGACATAAATATCTTTTATTGTCCCCAGTTATAAATAACCTGTTAGAAAAGCAACTACTATTAGCCAGGAGATGCACAATTGACTGAAATCATCAAGAACTAAATTGTCACAGCGGAAATGGAAGAACAAGTATCATGAAACTGAAAAGAACAATCCCCACTGCTTCTTAATGAGGGGAGTGGGGAGCTGTGGAGGGAGCACAGGGTCAGGAACACCTCAGAGGCCACCCTGGAGTGAACAGGGGAAAACCAGAGCATAGAATAATCTCTGCTTCTCTTGCCTTTACATTCAAGTTACACCTGATGTTTCTTCACCTTAAAGAGTATTTTATTCCTTTCAATTTGCAGAGGCACTGAGGAGCTGACCCAGTTCACAAAGAACATTGTCTTGAACAACCAATTCCCCCTGCAAAGGCAGGGCCACAGCACCTGCTTTAATGGCCAGGAAATGAAGGCAGTGAACCAAGCAATTGCCTCCGCAAAAATAAAATAATCAGTCCTTGGGTCAGTTCCTTACTTGGATTTGTAAATTCCAAACAGAAAAGGGAATAAATTCAGTTTTAAATTGCAATGACTGACTTGATCAGAATTTGAGAAAATGCTGATCACACAACCTGAGCATGTGAGCAATAATACACCAGACTGAAGAGACAGAGCTCTGAATTCTGTTATCCTGACAGGCTGGGGGACATCTTCTTATGCACAAATCCTGATTTCCAATGCAAATAAAAGCCTGGTTTTGCTCAAGCCAGGTTGAACCCTGCAGCCTGATGCAGTGATGGGCACCATTTCCAACTGAGTCAGGTCTACCTGGGAGCTGAGACAGACCAACAAGTCCCCTGTTGCTGTCCTTCTGCTGATTTTATACAAAAGAACCAAATTTTAAAGGGTGATGCTTAAATTCAGGTTTTGTGAATAGGAGCAGGAGGCTGGGAGCTGCTGTTAAAACTCAGGGCAATGCAAATTAAAAAGGAGATTAAATTCACTAGAGATGGACAATATTTCTCATAAAACATCCAGCAGTGAACAACAGAGGTCACATAACAGAGACCACCTATTTAGGAGGATCCAAACAAGCCATGAACACTTTCCCAGCAGAAACATTCAGGATAATGAAGCAAACAGAAAAGGTAGGGATAAAAGCAGAGATGAAGTGTAGTATTTTTGGGGTTCCCCAGACAGAGGAGGAATGAAGGAATCTGACTCCATGTTCTTAGAAGGCTAATTTATTATTTTATGATACTATATTATATAAAAGAATACTATACTAAACTATACTAAAGAATAGAGAAAGGACACAGAGAGAAGACTGAAAGATAATGAAAATTCATGACTCTTTCTCAGAGTCCAACACAGCTGGCTGTGATTGGTCATTAAGTTAAAACAATTCACATGAAACCAATGAAACAACCACCTGTGGGTAAACAATATCCAAACCACATTCTAAAGCAGCAAAACATAGGAGAAGCAATCAGATAATTATTGCTTTCACTTTTCTCTGAGCTTCTCAGCTTCACAGGAGAAGAAATCCTGGCAAAGGGATTTTTCAGCAAATATGATGGTGACAATGAAGAGTTTTGGGAATGTTATAAATCCTGGTCCTTTAGGGCCCAGCTCACTGATTAGGATTGAGACCAACCTTCCTCAGCAAGGCAGCAACAGGCCACTCACAACCTCTGCTGTTTTTCCCTTAAATCATCTCCATCAGCAGAGCCAAGGCAACAGCCAGGCTTTTAGAGGAACACACACCCAGGATGTACCAAGAGCAGCCACCAACAAATGCTGGAGATGTTCCTTGGGGAGTGCCACAGGCACTGAAATGCTCATCAGGAATTTAACAGCTTGGATCTGCAAGTCACAACTGTAGAAATTCCCCTTGCACCCTTCCCAGGCTCTTGCTCCTCCTCCAGAAGCCCCACCATGAAAAATGCATATTTTATGATTGGCCTTTCACAAATATTCAGATAATTATATGTGTTGTCTTAGAAAGTGATGCTGTATTAATTTTATTAAGTAGTGTGTTAAATCTAGATTTAGGCTATAACATAATGTTAAAATAGAAACTATTTTAAGTAGTTAGATACTTTTCTATAAAGAAAGGACTCGCAGTGAGGTAGCAGCCACAGGACACCTGAATCTCTCAGAGAAAGAGAATTTATTGCTCCATTATCGAGTTCTTCCTGCCTGGCTCAGCCCTGAAGACACCGTCAGGATTCAGAGGCAGAAGCTGACACTGCCCAGACAGAATCCTGTGTTTGAATGGAATTTATGCATCATGGATGAGGTGTATGAATATGCAACAGGCTGTTGCTTTTAAGGGTTAATCCTCTGTTAATGTGGGGCTTTTTTGGGCCTATTTTGCCCAGAAAGAGGTACCTGGACTGTTCATAACTCTTTGTTTTTATTGTTTCATATTGTCTCAATCCTAATTGTCCAAATTATTATTACTCCAATTATATTACTAATTTTATAACCATTTTATTATCATTAAACTTCTAAAATTAAAAAAACCCAAGCGATTGGCGTTTTCCACACCCACCCTAAGCACAACCCATGCTGCACTGCCCTCCCCTGGACAAAAACAACCATTCCAAACCTCAAGTTTGAGAATGTCGTGCTGCAGCTTGCGCTGGAAGTCCAGGAAGTGGGAGATGGTGAGCTTGCCCTTGAGGTCAGCCCCGAAGAAGTAGGTGGTGAGGGCGGAGTTGAAGCCGGTCTTGAGGGTGTTGCCGGTGGTGGAGCGGTCCCGGTGCCGCATGCCCATGCTGGTCTGCGAGCGGATGATGCTCTGCACCTACAGACACAGCAAGGATGGCACAGTCAGAACCAGTCAAGAGCCTGTGGCATCCTTGGTGGGGGTACCAGCTGCTGGTTTCTCTGTGCAAGGAAAATGAATCCACAAACATCAGAGGTTTATTGTGACCGTGTTCACAGGGGTTCTTGGATGAGGGAAGAGATGAGGATCTGACTCCGTGTTTCAGAAGGCTTGATTTATTATTTTATTTTATATATTACATTAAAACTATACTAAAAGAATAGAAGAAAGGATTTCATCAGAAGGCCAGCTAAGAATAGAAAAAGAAAGAATGATAACAAAGGCTTGTGTCCTGGACTCTCTATCTGAGCCAGCTGACTGTGATTGGCCATTAATTACAAACATCCAACATGGGCCAATCACAGATGCACCTGTTGCATTCCACAGCAGCAGATAACCATTGTTTACGTTTTGTTCCTGAGGCTTCTCAGCTTCTCAGGAGGAAAAATCCTAAGGAAAGGATTTTTCATAAGAGATGTCTGCAACAGTTTATGTCCAAAAAGGAGACAGAGGAGTCCTTGACTTTATTCGAATAAAGGAAGAGGCCATGGAGCAGTTCCCTGGGATCTCTCCAATTTTTGGGGGATGCAGCCTCTTTTTTATCCCAATTTCCCAGCCCCATTTCCCTTCTCTCTTTCCCCATTGGTTGAGGTACTTGGAAGGTACAGACTTCCCAAAACACCTGATCCCATGTTGGAATTCAGGGCATCTCTCTGGCTATCCCAAATTGCCAGGACCCCTGCCAGGGGGCTCAGAGACCCTGGCACAGAGCCCAGAACATCTGTGGCTTTGATTATGACCCATGGAAAAAATTACCAACCTTATAAGAGGATCTGCAAGCCACAAAAGTCTAAGTAGAATAATAATTAGTTTGTCACAGGGTGAAAAATAGATTTTTTTTGATTTTTAGAATGGGGGTTCAGGAGGCAAGATGGAGGAATCTGGGCATGTCCAGCCTTTCTCCTTCTTCTTCTTGGCCTCCATCTTCTGCTGTGATGGTGGCACTGTTGGATTGGTTTAGAGTAGAAGCTCACTGTCTAACATAGGTGATGGGTATTGGGAAGTTATGGTAAATATTGTACACATAGTTTTTAGTATAAAAAGATAACATCATCCCAAGAGTGTCAGTGTGCCTCTGTCTGTCTTGCTGAGTGGACCTCAGCAGGCCAGAGAAAGAATTTTATAGATAAGAAATAATAAACAACCTTGAGAATGAGAACTGAAGAGCTCTAACTCCTTCTTCAGCTGCCAGGCTGGGAAAAGAGACTTTCAAACACATCTTGGGGTCCCTGTGACCAGCTAAAGCCCCGAGAACACCAAAGATTTCCCTCTAATGTATAACCCTCCCTCTTAATTTTTAATTCTTATGGAATTTAGGGATTTTTCTTCCCCATTATTTCTTTTATCTTTCAATGTCTAATTTTGTTTATCAGCAAACAAAGTTTATATGTAAAAGCAAATCTCTTTTTCCATTCATCAATCAGTGGAATCCTTTCCATTGTTTCTTTTATCTCCCAGTGCTGGTTTTATCTACCAGCAGACCCACAGCTTGTTTGGAAAGACAAATCTGCTATTCCTCTCATCTGGGTCTGGATTGAAGGCACTTGAGACAGTAGCTCATGTTCAGACTAAGGTGTTTATTATTCCTTATCAGTAAAACAGCCTCACTACTGTGAGTTCAGCAGCTTTTCATTAGAAGGCACAAAATGGCAACAATCTCTTGTTCCAAGGGCTTTTAAGACTAAACTATCCAGTTAAGAACTGACACCTGAATTATTTCCCCTTTTAACCCAGTAACCGATCCCACAGAGCTGCAATGGGGACTTTTCTGCCCAATTACAAAATGCCACCCAAACCCATGGAGAAGGAGGAAGAAGAAGCATGAAGAAGAAACCCATGATGACACCCTGTGCCCTCCATCTTGCTTCCATCCACAGCACACTAAAACTCCCAAACCCTCAATTTCTCACCAAGTGACACATCTACACTGCTCTCTATAATCTATTGCACACTTTTGTGGGTTCCAGTCTATTTTGGAGTTCAGAAAATTTTCTCCATGAATGAGGGTCAAAGTCAGGGCTCCCCTGGGGGTCAGGGCACTCCAGAGCAGACAGAGAAATATTCCCGGTGCCCCGGGTTTCCACAATCCTTCTTTCTTTTCCTTCTAAAACAATTCTCAGGAGACACAACAATTCAAAAATTTGGCTAAGCTTAAGAGAATCACAGAATGATTCAGGCTGGAAGTGACCCTTAAGACCATCTAGTTCCAAAACCCTTCCATGGGCAGGGACACTTCCCACTAGACCAGCTTGCTCCAAGCCCTGTCCAGCCTGGCCTTGAACACCTCTAAAGATGAGGAGTCCACAAACTCTCTGGCCAACCTAGGCTTTGGCTTTTTCAAATGCTTAAAACGAGTTTTAGGAAACAATTCAGCCAGTTTGCAGATAAACATTCTAGAGCTGATCCCACCCCTGGTCAGCAGAGCAGCTTCTTCCCAACAAAATCCCAGGAGGTGTGGAAGCTGCAGCAAGCACAGAATTCACAGAATCACCAGGTTGGAAGAGACTTCCAAGATCATTGAGTCCAATCCAGCCCCAACACCTCAACTAAACCCTGGCACCCAGTGCCACATCCAGGCTTTTCTTAAACACATCCAGGAATTGCAGGGAAGAAAAAACTCTTCAAATGTTTTAGAGCTTCTATTACAGCACTCTGAGTGGGTCGCTGGTGGTGAGAGAGAGATGGTGAATCTTGTTTCTTGATCAGAAGGCTGGATTTATTGATATATAATATATAATACATTATAACTATACTAAATAGAAAAATAAAGAGTGAAGTTTGCAGATGTTGCTAAGCTAAGCTAAGAATAGAAAGAAAGAAGAATCTAAAACAAAGTTGTGTCTAGGGACTCTGTCCCTAGCTTGCACTTTGTGATTGGCCTCCAATTATAAACATGGAATATGAGCTAATCAAGGTGCCCCTGTTGCATTCTACAGCATCTGATAATAATTGTTTACGTTCTCTTTCTGGGGTTCTCAGCTTCCCAGAAAATGCAGAAATCTGAAAGAAAGGATTTCTGTGGAAAAATGTCTGCGACAAGCTTCCACTCCTTTACTTCCCATTCTTGTGAGCTCACAGCACCCCCAGTTTGCTCACAACACACTTCTTCCCACTCATGCACAAATTCTGAGGTTTTCAACCCAAGGGCACCCTCCTCTCGTTGCTGCCTGCTGCTCTCTGCCACAGTTGGGAGTTCCTCCATCCCTGGGGCTGTGCCACCCACCACAAAAGGCTCTTCAAAAGAACTTCCCTACTCCATAAAAGATGCCAAAAGGTTGACCTTGAAGGATGTGACAGCCTGAAAATCCAAGAGTGTGTTATTTTAAGGGTTCTGGGCATATTTAAGAGGGCAGCCAAGCCAAATGCAGCCATGTCCTCTCTCCATCCTCAGGTATCTCACTAAGCTACCAAGTCCATCCGAGTGATTATTGCTGGGGTATGAGAAGCCAGGCTTATTCTCTGTGTGTAACTTACCTCTTCCAACAAGGCAGCAAAAGGATTCATATTAAGGACAACAAATTTGAAATAGAAGGGAAAAAATCCACCTGACAGCCCAGGCTTCCCAAAGCTCCAGCAACCACCCCTGCTTTGCCATCAGCCTCTTCCCCCTGCTGACAAAAGCTGGAAGGAGGAAGAAAAGCAGCTGCCAAGAGCTCCAGCTGTCACAAGGATGCCAGAACCTCATTATTGTGGTATTCAGTGTGTTCAACCTTTTCCTAATGAGAGTGAGTGCTGGAACAGCCCCAAAGGAGATGCTCTAGAGGAAAACATCCACACTATTGCTGCTGGGTTCACCTTGCTGGAAACCCTGCATCCCAACCAGAGACTACTGTTCTCCCACAAGGAAAATCAACTAGAGGAGAAAATAAAGAGGAAAAAAGTACAGCAAAGAGGTTTTGAGGCTTTTTGGTTACTCTGATGTGAGGAAGGATGTGGGGTCACTTAATTATGGCCTTTCAGTGCCTAAAGGGAGCCTGCAAGAAATATGGAGAGAGACTATTTACAAGGGCAATGGCTTTATACTGAAAGAGAGGAGCTTTAGACTGCATTTTGAGAGGAAATTCTTCTCTGTGTGGGTGGTGAGGCCATGGCACAGGTTGCCCAGAGAAGCTGTGGCTGCCCCATTCCTGGAAGTGCTCAAGGACAAGCTGGACAGAACATGAAACAACCTGAGACAGAGGAAGGTGTCCCTGCCCATGGCAGGGGGTAGGATTGAGTTGATCTTTAAGGTCCTTTCCAACCCAAACTATTCAGGAATTCTCTGATTTTTCCACTGCAACTCCTCAGTTTGCTTTGTGCTTCACTGTTAACTGTGAGCTCTGCATGCAGCACAGTTTGGAGACAAATATTTATAAACTGTCTGAAGCAAGGCAATTTAAGGCCAGCTTGGAAAAGTGCCCCTGTTTCTACATCAGTGTTTACCACACTGCAGACTGCTCCACAGAGCAGCTTTTCCTGCCTGTTATTTATGTGGAATCCTATGGCTCTCTTTTCCTCTCCCATCTGTAACAAGTGTTGGACAGGTTGAAAATCCACCTGTGGGCACTGGAGCCACAATGATTGAAGCAGTCCCTGTTTTGGGTAATCCTTTCAATGATCCAGGCACCACTGCAAGGAGCTGCCCTCACCCCACAGCTCATCAATCCTGCAAGGACAGGGAGCTCTGAGATGCTCCACTCTTTTTTGTTCCTATTTCAGCTTAAGTGTTTGTCATGTTTCATCTTTTGTACCAGATGAGGGGAAAAAACCAGATTAAAATAGTTAAAGACTCAAACAGAAATCACCAGTAACACTGCATGCACGTTTTCTACTTTTCAGACAGCTTTTCTTTAAAAACAGAGGAGTAAACTCACAATTTATATGCCAAAGGATGAAGAATTGAAGGCAATACTGATGTAAGCACCACATTTTTCAAGACTAAGCACTAACCACATGCCTCAACTGGATAAAAACCCTGAAATTCTTCATCAAGGCAAGAAGAAATGAACTGGTTTTTTATTAGGCAGTTAAAGCCTTCAGCTAAGTCACATATGAGCTAAATTACTGCAGTAATTTTCTTTCCTGATGAGGTTTTCCAAGATCAGTGAGAAGAGGGACCTGCTGTTGGCTGCCTCCAAAGAGAAGGTGTGAGGGAGGAATAGGAAGTTCATTCCCACATGCTCACAGCCAGCAGGGATGGAGTGATGCTTCCCTGGTGTCCTTTTCTTCCCCCTCTTCTTCCACCCATTCTCGCCAAAATGATGTTGCTCTTTTAAAGTGCTGCACAATCCCCTGAGAGGGTCAGTTCCAGCTGCTCCTGCCAGGTGAGATTTACAGGACAGAGCTGCAAACACCTGCCATCCTTCATGGTCTTCCTGAGGTATTTCCATAAGGAGTGAAAAACAGGATTTACCATATAAACAATTGTTTGTAATGTTAGATGTTTGCATAATGAGATATATGTGCCTCCCACTGGAGCTGTGTTTGTTCTGGCAGCAAATCAGTATCTTCACAGATATCTTCTCACTTTCCAAAACAGCTCCTTTATCCTCTTACTCTCAGCCTTCACCCAAATATTCTGATGCTAACCAGGAACTTTATTCCTTTCTATACAAGGAGTGACACAGGTAAGCAGCTTAACAAAAATACCTTCCCCTTCCTAAGGATATTTATGTGACTTAATGCACGCACAACTTCCCCTGGTCTACTGGATGATTTGAAATAATTGAATTCAATTTTGTACCCTCATCTTCACAGCAATTAGGAAACATTCATCTTGTAGAAATGCTCCTTTTTCATTTTAGGTGGCTCTAATAAAAAAGCCAAACGTGACACCTGAGTTAGCACCTTGGCACCACTGCATTTTTAGTAGGAGGTTAATTGTTCTCTGCTTTTCTTAAATTCATCTATCTCCATAATTGATTTCATTCTAGAACACTGCAACTACCATAAATCACCTTTTGGGCTGTTCAATATGATCACATAGCTGCAGTGGAGTGCTGTCTCCATGCACTATGCAGATAGAAGAACTGTGATTTTTACTTGGGGAAAGGAAGGTGTCAGGACCAGGGACATCCCTCTGGCTGCCCTGGGTGATTCCAGACCCTGGCATGGGGTTCAGAAACCTTGGCATGGAGTCAAAAACACCTCTGCCTTTGATTTTAGCCCATGGAAACAATTACCAACTTTGTGTGAAGAGTTACAAGCCACAAGAGTTTGAGTAAAATAATAGTTAATTTGTCACAGGATGAAAAAGCAGAATTTTAGGGTTATAGAATGGGGGTTCAAGAGGCAAGATGGAGGAATCTGGGCATGTCCTGTCCTTCTTCTTCTTGTCCTCCATCTTCTACTGTGATGGTGACACTGTTTGATTGGTTAAGGGTAGAGACAGACTGTCTAACATAGGTGATAGGTATTGGAGAATTATTGTAAATACAGTACAGGTAGTTCGTAGTATAAAAAGTCAACACCACCCCAAGGGCAGGGACTGTGCCACAGCCCAACCTGCTGGACAGAGCTCAGCAGGTCAGAGAGAGAATGGAACAGATAAGAGAAATTAAACAACCTTGAAAAGCAGAGCTGAGGAATTTCGACTTCTTTGGTCACAGGGCTGGGAAAAGACTCTTTAATACCTGGGGGTGATCTCAGTCACAGAACCCCAAGAGGAAGGAATGTGACCAAAACCCCAGGTTTACATAAAAGCTGCCAAGTGAAGTGATGTCAGACTGCAGATCAACACACTCCAGTCTCCTCAGAGTACAAAGAGTGCATCTAAACCCCTGCACTTCCCCAGATCTATTCCATGGCTCTGGAGCAAGCTCGTGATGATGACATCATACACACAGGTAATAATTTAAGGAGGATGACAGCAAAAGATTAGAGAGGGATGTAATTCAACAGACCTCCTTTGCCACTAGTTCTTCCCATTTATAGCAAGTGCCCCAAGCACGACCTTGTGGAGACTCTTCTGCAGTTAATTACTCATGGAGCCAACTCATGAGTAAGAATCTGTCCCTGGATTCTCCAGGGCTGCTTTGTTCTTGGGTAGCACTTTGTAAATGCATTTAAATTTCCTTTTATGAATAGCACACACTGGTGATTCAGGATGTGATTTCAGGGTGTTTATAAGTTCCCAATTTCTTAAGGCTAGAAATAGGCAAGGAAAATCACACTCTTCTGCCTGGGGAGGGCAAATCTTTTCCCCACTGATCCTTCAATCTATTCTCACTCAGACACGACCATAAATCACAGCTTACAGGAAGAGCTCACCAGTACCAGACATGAAGGCTAAACTCATTAAAACACCTGCAGCAAAGTCCCTGTTGATGAAGCCTTGTAAGAAGTAGAGGACTAATGAAAATATGCTCTCAATAACACATTTTAGGATTACACTGGAATAAGTGGATAAACCCTCCTCTGAAGCAGACTCACCTTGGCTATTCTCTGAAGACAAAATTAAGGAATGCAGTAGAAGCTGTGAAGGCAGTAGGATCAAAATCCCACTTTATAAGTAGAGTGAAAAAAAGTTCTTTTTCTACCTTGAAGGTGACTTTTTGTAAGGAAAATGTTACAGAATCACAGAATGGTTTGGGTTGGAAGGGACCTTAAAGCTCATCCAGTTCCACCCCCTGCCACAGGCAGGGACACCTTCCACCAGACCAGGTTGCTCCAAAGCTCACACAGCCTGGCCTTGAATGTTGGTGGCAAAGTCACAGGAAACCTGAGTTTGTCCTGCTGCTTGTCCTGGTTGAATGAAAAATTTTCTCTTGACACATGCAGTTTAAAGAAACAAACAGTAGCACTGAAGCAGCACAGCAGAGCGCAGAAGGGAAAGGTGCAAACCAGCACTGAGCACAAAAATGAAGGCAGTAACATCACAGAGGGATGCTGTGCTTATGGCTCAGGTGCCACAGCACTGATTGCTCAACTTGCCTGCTCAAACTCCTCCATGTCCACCTCGCCGTCGCCGTTCAGATCAAACATCTTAAAGGCAATTTCAAAATTCCTCTGGGGAGCTACATGAAAAACCCAACAAAACACAAAAACCAGTTAGCAAAGATACAAAAGCTCAATTAAAAAACAGCACAAGTTCTGAATGACTTTATCCAAAAGAAATTTTGCTCAATTCTTTCAATTTCAGTGGAGAAAGGCAGCTTCTAGGAACCTCTGGCTATGAGCTTCAGGGTCCTCCTTTTACCAAAGGTCTTGACAAGGAGTTGTAAGGAGGAGATGTTTCTGGAACATTTATTCTATTTACAGGTGGGAAAAGCTGGAAAGCAAGATGCCACCTGTTATTTCTAATGACAGTTAACAGAAAATGAAGCTGCAGCAAGAGCTCCAGCCTGTTCCATGCAGTCCAACACCAGTTTGGCCAGGGGATGTTCCCCAGGCACTGCACTCCCTGTGCTTCCCATGGGTGAGGAGCAGAGCTGGGATCTGGGCACTTCTCAGCTCCTGCCTCCCTGCACAAATTTTAACAAATCATGCCCACCCTGTCTGAGCCCAGTCATGGCACTGAGATGAGCTGTGGGCTGCAGCTCACGAGCTGAGACGTGGCTGTACCTCATTTTTCATCGCATTTAGTCTCTGCTGTCACGGTCTATTTAGTCAGAACTGCAAAGGCATCACTTCCCAGCCAGCCACGCTCTTTTCCCTGCAGCCCACCACAGGATTTCAGTACATTTCCATTTTGGGCTCTGGAACCCATCACTGTTTGAAGCTACAACGCAGTGCCACAATTTTTTCCCAAATTAAGTTAATATATGAAGATTTATCATGCTCTGCTACTTTCAAATACACACCTCCTACAGGATTTGTGGTGTTTGCTGGGATTTCTAGGGAATCCTCAAGGTTATAACTAATGCTAAGCCTATCATCTTAAGTGATCAGTTAAACTTAGCTGCTTTTTTCATTTCCCACATCTAATGTAGATCACTGGTGAGGTTCAGCTCTCTTGAATTTCATCTGTGCAATCAACTTTTAATGTTTCCAGTGGATGCTCAGGGTATAATGAGGTTTTGCATCCACTCTTCTGTGGGAAGGCACTTCCCAGACGGGGGTGGCAGAGGGGAGACAAAGAGGAATCACTCAGACAAAAGGAAATGAATATGGAATTAATTGAACTGGATTTTTGTTACAGCTCCAGTTCAAAACTTTCACACTGTGTTTTCTCCTTGCTATAATAATGACTAGCACTTTATCAGGAAAGGATTCAGCAGACAGGTTAATGAGACCCTTTTCCCAAACACTCTGTGCCCAAAATAGATGAGTAAGGGCATTGGGGCTGATGGCAGGGACAGCCTGCCAGGACCTGCTTGATATCCCCAGCACACGTGGTGCTGCTCTTATCATCCTGCACCTCCAACTTCCCCCTGCCAACCCCTCGAGCCTGGAATTCCAGACACCACGAGCAGGAGCAGCCTCTCCTGTGACCAGAGCCACGTGCTGGGTCATCCCCCCCCTTCAGCCACATCCCTGCTGGGCCTCCCACAGCTCCTCTCTCCTCCCTCCTTCACCCTCATTAACTCAGTGTTAATTGACCTGGGGACAGCCAGTCCCCAGCACCACCTTCATAATCTCTCCAATGATACATCAAATTTAAGGGATTAAGCCTCCTCTGTATCCATCCAGTGTCTCCAGTGATTAAGTCCCCATTTTCTTGAAGAGCAACAAGCTTCCAACTACCCCATTAATATTTCAAGAACATGTACAATTTTATTCACTTTAACTGCATGAAAGTCTGGTGGCAATTTCCTCTTATTAGCCCCAAAATCTGGCACTAGGGAAATGGTGTTTCCTCTGTGAGGAAGAGGAGGAACAGACAAAACTCTAATGTAGTTACAAGGTTGTAGAAAAAGAGCAGTCAACACCTATTTCTTACCCCATTTTCTCTACCAGGATATAATGATGTTGATTTAAAGATTGGGACATATTTCTTACCCCATTTTCTCTACCAGGATATAATGATGTTGATTTAAAGACTGGGAAATTTGTTATTCCTTGTGAAAAACTGTCACAGGTTGGGGTTTTTTCTCCCCTTTTTATGGAAATAGATAATAGCACATCCCATTTGTGCAGAACAGAGTAAAATACTCACTTGTCCCTCACAAGGGCCATTTCCCTCCTTTTCCATCTCTAAACACACATTTCCATGAGTAATGTATCAAAGCCCCAGAGGAGAACAACACCTCCAAAATTTAAATGAGCAGTTCACATCAAAAATCTGCAGGATCAGTATTTTCTAAAGGCAGGGAAGGGTGGCTTTAAATTGGCAAATTCAATTACTTCACTCCTTCAGCTAATAAATGGCATGGCTGGTTTCCTCCTTTGATCTACATATCCAGCTCCAATTACCTGGAATGACACTTCCATCCCAACAGTGTGACCCTGAGCCAGGGGAGCAGAGGGCACCCACGACAATTAGCTCATCCCACTGCTGCTCAGGAAGGAATGTTCATTAGAGATGCACACCCCTGGTGCCCAGGACTGGATTTATGGGGCCTGGCTCAGATGATTTCTGCCTCTCCCCTTGGCTGGGATGCTTCTGGCCAGGATTTATGTGGGAAGAGCTGCCCCAAGAGCTGCCAATCCCACTGTGCCTGCCTTGCCCATTACCTCAGCCTGCACAAGCTCCATTCCCTTCCTCTTCCTGCACTTACATCCCTCAAACTTATAAACCATAAAGCAGCAGACACAAGATTGCCCAGCTAAATGTGGCCTTTCCCTCCCTCTTCTATTTTGCCCCCCAAATTTTACCATTCCCAACTGCAGCATCTCTAAATTTCCCCACTGCCTCCTTAATTAAGATGCCACCAAACAAACCCAAAATTCCTCCTGCAGTGGTGTCCAAAGCCATTTAAAGGATCTTTGGTTCTCATATGGCCTAATGCCTGCCTTGGTAAGGGAAAACCACCTCTGGATTTCCCCCAAGTGCTCTGCTGCATTCCCAGCTCTCTGGTTGTGTGAGCTGTCTCCTCACCATCCTTTTCTACATTATTAAAAATAGAGACTGCTTCACTGCAACTGATTTCCCTTGGGCAATGAGGCAGAAACTGTTCAGGGCAACTGCAGTTTCTTTTTTAGCTTTATTTCTATCTTTAGATGTTCAGGAGGATCCTCCAAAGCATTAACATGGAAGCATGGAATGGTTTGGGTTGGAAGGGACCTTAGAAATCACCAATTTCCAACCCCTTCCATTGGGCCAACATGAGAGAAAATGTGGAGTTGAAGCACACACCACTATCAGTGAACTCCTAGCTCAGAGATATATGGAAATGCTCATATATACAGACCTAGGCATAGATACATGGAAAGATCTGGATGAAATGATCCTTTAGATCCATAACAGCACCAGCTCTCCATGCCAAGTTGTTTTTTCAACTAACCCAGGATTTAGTGCAAAAGGCAATTAACACTTTTCTTGATTCACTTGTTCCAATCAAATATTTGGGGACAGAAAGAAAGCAAATAAAGCAGAACCCAAACACAGGAATGGTGGAGAGATGAGTGTCCTCCAGCAGCAAACAAACAACAAGCAGCAGCACTGACCACAAGGAAAAAACCCACTTGGATCCGGCAGGATAAAGCCCCTGGGAAGCCCTGAGGGATGAGATGGCTTCATTAGGCATCTTTAAGCCAATGATGCCATTTTAAACTATTTTCAATTATTCAATGGACCAATTTGCAGCACTCAATTGCTCTTTACAGCCCTGTGCTCTCAGCAGAAGCAATGCACTCTGAAAGACATTAAAAGCTTGCTGATGAGAAAGGCCACATTTCCTTGGCTTTGTGCTCATTTGGGATCTTTTATTTCCCAAAAACTCAACATTTGGAGACCCCTCTCAGTGTATCTTGCTCTCTGACCTCCAGCAGAGAACTGAATTTTAAGAAAACCAAAGTCTTACCACACTTTTGGGGAATACCCATTGCTCCCTCCTCATGGAGCTGGGAATTTCTTTGCCAAAACAGGGTGATTTTTGGTGATGTTACTTAGAGGAAGTAAAACTTCTGGCTACTCCTTAAAAAACACTGGAATATCTTGACTTTTGGTGGGAATTTATACACAAAGCAGCTCATGGCTCCCAAGGCTTAATAACTCCCCAAGCAACTCCAATGTGGGAAGAAGGATCAGGAACTCAGCTGGGAAAAATCAGTCATTTGGAGTTAAATATCCTAGGGTTGCTTCTTCTCCATTTATCCCAAAATGAAGAAAAATAGATGTGCAAAGGCCACAGTACCCTGAAAGTGAATCAATCCCCAATTAACAGAGTCCTGAAGCAGAGACAGCTATCCACAGAATACAGATGGCTGAGCCCCAGCTGCAGTAAATATAGGGAAAAAAAACCCATTAAACTTAATGTTGCAGATATTTTCCTTTCATTATTACTCCACCATTTCAGAAAATGAATCCAAATCACACCAAGTTGGTTTTTTTAATGTTAATCAACCCAGAAATGTAAGTAACAGGCAGCTAAAAAACTGAGCCCACAGCACTGAGCCACAGTATCATAGGTTCTAGAGGAGAAATGGGTTATTTCTTCTCACAAAGAAGGATCAGAACTAACTCTGAAATAAGGCAAGTGTGTCAGCTTGGGATACCAGGGAGAAATTCTTCCCTGGGAGGGTGGGGAGGCCCTGGCACAGGGTGCCCAGAGAAGCTGTGGCTGTCCCTGGATCCCTGAATCCCCCATCCCATCCCACCCCATCCCACAAATCTGAGGGATGAAGAGATGAACAGAGGAAGACCAGGTGAAGGGTACAGGCTGACAGAGCCTCTCATGCCCCAGTCTGAGTTTTCAAATCACTTGGGAACATCCCAAACTGCCAATTGTGAAAAACCATTCCATTTCTGTCCTTCAGCATGGCACAAGTGGGATGCCAAGCCAGAGGGCTCTCCCTGTGCCAGGAAGCAGCCAGGCTTGTGTTTGGAAGCTGGGATATTCCTTGGAAGATGCTGCTCAGACACATCTTGGAAATGCCACAGCAGTGACTGGGCTGGCAGAAAGGCAGGGAGACATCCCTGCTCCAAACAGTGAAGGTGGGATGGACCCATGGAGGGTCTTGAAAGACTGAAGAGAAAATTAACATGAACAGGACTACAAACAAAACCAGTCCTGTAAACTCAAAGCAACCTTTTCTTGAGGGAATGGGTGCTGTGGCACAGGGCACAGCAGGATGGAGGCACCACTGGTGAGGTAAAGGTTTCACCCATGGCAGGGATGGGGCTGAAGACTTTCCTTCAGCCAGGAATAATTTATTTAGAAGTCATGGTCCAAAGGGACCCTGGGGATCCATCCCAGTGTGGGAGAAGAGGTCCCTCCATCCCAGGGACAGGCACAGAGCTCAGTATCTGGCCAGAGCACAATTTGCAGAGTTAGATGGCTTGAAATTTATTCGCTACACACAGGACAGAAAAAAAATAACAGTGTATCCTAAATGAGAGTTACCTGCTGTGGTGGGAGAAGGAGCTGCAGGTCTGCTAGGAGAGCCCTGGCAAAAGGCAAATTATTGTGGCTTCAGCCAATGTTATTTAACCCTCCTGCCAGGAGAATTAAATCCAGACACAGCTACAGTCCAACTGTGGAAACAACACCAATTTATTCTTCTAATGCCCAGCTCTCCTCAGTAGCTGTTAATGAAGGCAGAATTAGTGTGCCTTGCCATTTGCTGGGCAATTGCAGTCACTGGCCACAGAACAGTTCTTTTTCTCCTTCCTCCATTTGTTTTGCAAGTCCCAAAGCAAAAACCTCTTTGGTCAGGGAAGCCATGTCTTTGTTTTCCTATAACATTCAAAGGATCCGTGCAGGGGAAATTCCATCAGAATTTGCTCATCTTTCTACCTCTGCCCCAAAACACAAGGAGCAACAGAAACTGTCGAGTTTCCTCAAGGTCCCTCAGCTCTCATTGCCTTTAACAGAAGGCTGACTTTCTGAATAGCTAAAATTTATTAGTTGTTTTAAAAGAAAAACTTCACAGAAATCCAGCAACCAAGGAGAACAGACAGTGCTGGGGTGAGAAATGGCTCGTAAATAAGATATGGTGACAGGCTCATTTCTGAGCAATGTGCAAACAGCTGCCTGAGAGCAACATGAAATGAAGCCTCCAGCCCTCTCTCCTCCTCTCACTCCCCATTTCACAGAACTCAGCTGGAGGAGCTTCAGGTAGAGCTGCAAAGACAACTGCATGAGGAGTTTGGGGAAGCACAACAGAGCCCTTGGGGTTTCTTGTTTGCCAAGGCTCTCATTGATCAGTTTGGAATGCAATGAGCCAAAGCAGACCATGATGGATCTCTCCCCATCACTCTCCCTCCTGCCTCACCCCCAGACCCAATCTCCCACTCCCCCTTTTGATTATCCTGCTCAGTGCTCAATATGCCACCTTCCTTTCCCAATATTTATTTGGTTTTATCTCTTTGGTGTAATCTACAGCTCCACCTTGTCCAGATACTTCCTTAATGTTTGGGTTATTTAAACAACACAGGGAGAAAACCAATATTGAACTGTCACATTTAAGATTTACTTCCCTCATTCTATTTTATTTATTTATTTCTAGGGAAAAGAACCCAATCAGGAACTACTGGATTCCTGCAAGGCAATGTTCACTAGTCAGAGAGGAAACCAGTGGGGTGCAACAGTGAGTTTTCTATTTAGCCACAGGGTAAGGCTTGGTTGGGAGTTTATTTTACAACAGCAAATGCTTTAAAAATGAAACCCAAACTCTTCCTCTGGGGAATCACTGTTTAACAGGAGCTCCAGAGATATTCCTCCATCCTCAGGAATCATTTAGCAAATTCCCCAAATGTCTAAAAGTCAGCCTCAAAGCCCTGGAATTTTTTTTTCCTCCTTTTTTTTCTTTAATTTTCCTTTTTGAAAGCTCCTGCCTTGCCCTCAAAGGCCCAATGTGGCTCCTCAAGGCCAGTTCTGTCTCCTCATTAATCTAACTCCCCTGTAATTGTGGACACACACAAAAGCCCAAGAACAAGAGGAATAAAACCCTGTCCCTCCCTCACAGCCTCCAAAACAAGGCTGGCTGCTCCTCCAACACAAGGTGGTCCTTGCCTTTTATTCTCACAACAAACAGGTTAAAGCAAAGCAAGAACAATTTCTCTTACTGCTGCCTGTGGAAGCACATGAAATTCATTTTGTGCCCTGTGCACTTGATTAGGGGGTTGTTCACCACCAGCACAACCATAAAAACAAGGGCAGGAGCGTTTCCAAACCACACTCAGTAATGTGATAGCAGAGGTTTGAGAGTTCATTGTCATGTGTGGAGGCTCAGATGAAAAGCCCTCATGTGAATACCTGAGATCATTTTGGCACAGCCCAGCTGAATGTAAGAAAGGAACTGCAAAGGTCTTAAGAGCCAGTTTGGAGACTCAGACAAATAAAAAAAGCAAATTAAAGTCATAAAACAAATTCCCTGGCTTGAACCAGCTTTATCTCTCTGTTTGTTTTCACAACATGAAGGTCACACACAAGTCTGCCCCCGCCAGGTCCATTTGACAACAAACCAGACCTTGAGCATTGCTGCTTGCCAGGAATAGATCCTCAGCTAAGGAAGAGCTGCCTCTCCTGTCTCCTGTTACAACATGCAAGAACATGGGGCAGAATAAAGCACCTGTTGCTGTGACAAAGCACCAGGGATTAACCCAGCTGACTCCCTGAACAGCACTGGGCTCTGCAGGTAACTGGGAACCATCCAGTTTTCTAATTCCACAAAGCAGGTCAGCATGGAATACTCACTACATTAGATGGCCAAGTTTTCTCTTTTTAAATCTAAAAATAAAATGTCTCAAGTTTATTTGGACAGTGGCTTATTCCCCCTTATCCCACATTTTCTAATGGGGCTGAGAAACTGCCATTGACTTTCCTGTTTATGGTACAGCACCTTCCAAGCAGTCAGAGAAGCTCTGCAAATGAGGTTTTGAGCTTGACTTCCACGTGAAGAAAGTCTAGAAAAGCCATTTGACATTATCAAAGGCTTCAGTTTCACTGGTTCTTGCCAGCAAAGCAAACTTCTCAGTGCTGGCACTGGGAGTGCAGACAACTTTGCTGGAACAGATTAGCAGATCATGGAAATATCACACATGCAAGTCAAGGGCAGCAGGGTGAAAAGACAGAAGGTATCTAATGATACTGCTTGAAATGTAAACAGCTTAACTTCTCTCCTCATTGGATTACATCACTCACAAACCCAAGCTCACCCAAGTGAAAATACAGCTGGAAAAGAGAGTTTGGAGAGGTGAGAAACCAGTGAAGAGCTGGAGAGCTGTGTTCATCCAGATCCAAGACAATATCACATGAACACAGCTCAAGAACACTTCTCCATTTACAGATCTGAACAGCAGGTCAAGTGACTCATTAAAAAAAAATTTGTCACATTTCAAAAAGAGAAATAAATCTTCAGAAGCCATCAATCTGCTTGTCTTCTCAAAGCACTGGAAAGCTCAGGCTAAAGCAGATCAAGCAACAGCAATTGCTCAGCTCGAGTTGCAGCCAATCCAGAAGGCCTTTTAGGGATATGCATGTCAACAAGCTATTACTTGTGAACCCTGAAAACTTCCAAAAAAGCAGGAATTGCAGGGAAATCCCAGTGTACTTACTGGAGAGGACAGTGGTGAGGAAGATGTAGTCGGAGAAGGAGATGAGGCCGCATTCTCCGAGCGCGTAGAAGATGCTGTCCTCGTCAGCAAACTTCTCCCTCTCCTGGGACAGCTTCTGCTCATCCAGCCAGCCACACCCCAAAGAGAGCACAGAAAGCACCAGGTCAAACACAGAATAAAAGGCTGGATTTGTATCCTTAGCACCAAAAGCCATTCCATGGACACACACCCCTACTATCTCCATCCATATCCAGTGGACCTTTTCCAACCTTTGGATCTGATCAGAAAAGTTCTGCAAAGATCAGTGCTTGACCATCCCAAATGAGGATAAGGAATTGCATGGGATTCCTTTGTTGGTTCAGCCCAGCTGAAATAAACATATAAATTTATGTTTATTACATTATTATGGCCAGTTTGCCTAAAATCTTTGAGATTAGTGGTGAAAAATTCAGACTTTAATACAGGATTCAAAAAGGAAATTGTATTGCACTGACAGCTTTTTAGTTAGACTCTGTTGTAGAAAGGAGCCAAGAAAGGATTATTTGACATGAATATAAAGTCTGATCAAGGTTATCCAAACTGTGTGAGTGTATGAGCTCAGAGGGAGGACCAGCCTGAAACTAAATTCAATCCCCCTCTTGCTCCAGTTCTTTTCCATTTATCAGCTCACAATATCTTACTAAGCTAAAAATCCGAGTCCCTTTGATCTGCAGAACCCCCAAAGGCTGAAAAGGATCCATAAAACTGTTAGGGAATCCACACTGGTGACCCACTTTAAGGACACAGCAGGAGGAGGCACACGCACACGCAGAGGAGAATTCAATTAATACACAGGAGAGTAGGGGTGGGTGAGGTTATTCCATGGAAACCAGGCCATGCAAGCACACACAGGCATGGTGAAAGCAAGGCTGGATTTAGGAATGGTTTTAGGAAAAACCACCAACAAACACCACCACAAGAGGGTCCAGCTCCACAACTGGCCCCCAGCGTTACCTCAGTCTAGCGGAGATCCCATCATATACAAGATAAAGGAAAGAAAACTGGTTAACCAACAATAAAACAGGCAGGCAAAACATCACATCAAGTTGACTGGTTAGGCTTGCCAAGAGCAAGGAAAGTCTGGAGCAACCGGGTGGCTGCTGTGACTGGAAGCCTATGGAGATACCCCAGCAAGTGTTAGCTCATAGCTTCTCCACTGTCTGCAGCTGATGTCTCTCATCCACCTCAAGTTTTTGGTTTTTTTTTTATTTTTTGAGAGAGAACTCACCATTGTATGTGACTGCAGAGTGGGGATGAGCTCAGCTAATAATTTAGATGTAAATTTAACCTGTATCTGGCTTGGAAATCACAAGAAAAGAGACAAAAATAATCATATAGATCACAAAAAAAAAACCAGTTTCCAGGGAAAAATACTTCACTTCTATTGATCACATAAAATTGTTCCCAGTAACTCTGCCTTTACCACCTGGAGAGCACCAGGAATTTAATAAGAGGTGAGTCACTACCAGCAGACAACAGCTAATGACCTTCATTTGATGCAAGATAACAGCCAGTTATGATTATGGGGTACCAGCTTGAAATATCATTCCCTCAAAAAATCGTTCTGCTTCCATTTCCATCAAGATGGAGCCAAAGCAAAAAATATAACATTGATGCTGAAGTGAAGAACAAAAACATCTGGTTTTGCTTGGAACCAGAGGCAGGATTTGGGGAGAGCAGCTCCCTGTGACTGCTGCTGGAGGTGTTGCCAGGAGCATCCCACCTGCTCCTGTGATTTATTGCCTCTCCTGGGCAGCATTGATCATGATCTAGCTATTGGCATCTTGCTTGAAGAATCCCATGAAAAAGTTCCACAAGGTGGTTTATTAATTTTTATGGGTTTCTTTGCTGCACTTAAAATTCATAGTCAGCATCAAACAGCTCAAAATATTCCTCATAAGAGGAAAGCACATCAACAGATTAACAATAAAAGAGGATATTAAGTTAGTTGGTCTCTGAAATATAAAGACAGATGGGAGGGAGAAGCATTTACCCATTTGCACCTTCCTTTGAGCAAACATAGTAAAAAAATGTTATTTATTTCTACTAAAACCAGCATCTACTTGTCACTAACCCAGGGAATGTAACTACAGTGCTCAGCTGCCTGTAGCTTGTGGAAAAGGGAATTCCTCCCCCTGATTTTAAGAGAAAACAACTGCCCTGATCAATCAGATTTGCAGGTTCCCAGCAGTAGAACAGAAGCTGTAAAAGTTTCCCATTTGTTGTCCTCTGTCTCAGTGAGAAGCTGTGTGTTTGACTGCTTTCCATGAACTTTGTGGGAGGCTCACCCCACTATGGGAAAGGCTCAAAGAATCCTTTTCCCAGCAGTTGTTCCCCCACCACCAAACATTGCTGAAAGGAATTATATCTAACCTTCAGGAAAAATAATAGAAAATAAATCAATCCATTTATTTCACAAAGCACGATGTGGGCTGTGGTCACCCCTCAAAGTTCAAGGACTGACTCAAAGTCAGTCCTCACTAAGACCTCAAACCACCCTTTTCCACACCCACCTTCCTTCCAGCACACTCCCACTCAGCCAGAAAGGTGATGCTTGGTATCAGAACACCAGGAAAAATCCCTTTCCAAACCTCCACCTTCTTTTAGAGACAAGTCATCTCCACAAATAATTATCCACACCCTTTTGTATCTGAGCACAAGGTAATTCTCAAAGTGTTCAGTTAAAACAGTCAAATTCTTCCACTTAACCTTTTTTCCATGTTAAATCCACTCCCAAAACCAGAGTAATTGGTTAAGATCATTCAGCACACCCCAAAAAACCCCATTTAAACCCAAGCATTCGCAGGTGAGCAAGCCATGGGGAACAATTTAAAATTATGATGTATTTTTTAATCAAGCAGTAGATTCATATTTAACAAGCACACAGACGAGCAGACATCCAAATTAACATGTAAAAGGAAAAAGAAACCCAAATATCTCACTGCTTTTGGCACAAGCACGGCTGTGTAAGTTCAGTGAGAAGCCACCAGTCCAGTCTGAGTGGAACAAAACTTGTGACAGGTGTACAGGCAGATTCTCTTACAGCTCCAGACACTGATGACAGGTCAAAAAACTGACTCAAATTCAAGATACAGAGTTTGCTTTGCCCTTCCCAACTCAGGCTCCAAGCTCAATCAGCACCAAGATGTGGCTGAGCAGATCAATGCAGTGACCAAGCTTCCCCAGAGCCACGTGCTAGAGGAAAAATCTTGTGCTGCATGCAGGCAACTCCCCACAGTTCCTTATGTACAGGCTGGCTGCAAAGCACCCAAAGGTACAAGACAGACTTCACATCTTCCACCCCAAAACTCCTCTGCTGCTGGAGCCTCCCTTAAGCTGAGGACATGGTACAGCTTCCAACAAGGGTTGGTGGAAACCCCACAGAATCCTTATGTTCCTCGCCAAATATTAACTTTTATTTTGGATTTTCAAATGGTTTTCTCAGGGCTAAGTGAGGAGAGAAACATGGTAATATTGAATTATGCAAATGTGAAAAATAAAGGTGTGTTTTTGTACATGGAGGGATGCTTTCTCTGCAGAGGCAGAGATGGGCACACGGTGCTGCTGCTCCCACTCCTAATGCAGGACTAGAAAAGCCTGACCACCTAAAAACTGGCAGCTCCACTTCAGCTGGCATCCCAGAAACAACAGCACTGAATTTGGGAAGAACACATCCTTGGGAAATCCTAATTCCTAATGCAGGGCTAGAAAACCTGACCACCTAAAAACTGGCAGCTCCACTTCAGCTGGCACTCCAGAAACTACAGCACTGAATTTGGGAAGAAGACATCCTTGGGAAATCCCTCAGAGCTGCCAGTTTGGGTTGCCATCTGGAGAAGGAAAGGACATTTTGAGCATCTTGCTTCCTGTAACTTACATTTCAGCACCACATTTCAACTTCCATGAACCAAAGCTTCAGGAATTTATCAGCCCAATGTGACAACTTTTGCCTTCCAAAACAGCAATAAAATAAACATCCATGAGAAATAATGGGTGTTTCTCCAGAACCAGGAACAATTCTGTCAATTAGCAAGGGATTTTAGATGAAGAATAAACCACTTTTTATTGACAAACATCATTGTAGTTGGTTTGTTCCTTTTGAACAGAAACATTTTCAGGTGACCATTATTGTACTGAGCAAATACAAACCCGTGAGTGTAGAGTGAAGTCAGCTGGATGCAAAGCAATTCTCTTTCAGTCCCAACTGACCACATTCAGTTATAACTATTTATTATTATAAAACAATAAAATAAGACATCTATTAATGTATTTCTTTCTTTCAGTTCTATTAATGTATGTATTTCATGGTTAACTGCAGGCATGTAGGAAAAGAAGTCCTATTTGCCAGCAGGACAGTGTGGATTATTGCAGCTTTTTCCTGTTGAAAATCCAGGGAAATAAATACTGAGAGACTTGGTAACAGACAAGGGAAAACCCTTAAAAAATTCCAGTGCAAAACCTGGAAAACCAAATTTTGCTGTGGTAATTGAAAATATGAACACTTTCAACTCTGAATCAAAACACTGAACTGATAAAAAGGAGGACTTTAAACTTTGCTAATTTTTTTAAGATTTTAAAACTTAAAGAGTCAAAGTCATGTATCTAGAGATTTCAGGCACCTCACTTTAAGAAAGCTGAATAAAGAAATAAAAAGGTTTTCAGGATCAGATTTAAAAATTGAGCCTTTCAGCCCAAATGTTCCAAAGTCTTTTAGGGAAAAAGAGATTGGGGAAGTCCCTCTGCACTATGAAACATGGACAAAAATGGGACCTGGGGGAAAATCGAAGGATTTAGGAGTTTTTAAAGTCAGCTCCATAATGTGGATGCAAAATAATTTTAAATGCACTGCCTGGCTTTTTCATATCACTTTTACTACATCATTAAATAAGAAAAAAGTGTTTGAGGCTGTGATGAAAACAGCACAAGGACCTTTTGAAACTCATAAACCTCTTTTAGCCATGGGAAAGCTCACATTACCTGGAGCCACCAGGAATGGTAATTTGCTATGAAGTCTGCACACCAACACAGGCAAACACAAACAGGTTCTCCATGGCAAATTGTGGTGGCTGAGTGCTG